TTCTTTGAAAGGTTCTAACTCCTTTAAAATGCAATATCTTGATATTGAAATAAATAATTGTTTAAGTCATTGAAAATAACATTATTCATCATTTTATAAACATAGCTATTCTTTTTACAATTAATGTGTCTTTTATTAAAAAAGTTTACATAGTTACAATGAAAAGGTTTTTTGAATCAATACTAAAAAGGATGATATTCTATTTACCAGAATAAGTAATTTCGTTTTATATATTTTATAAACATAATAGTTTATAATTGATACAGAAATTAGAATATTAGCATGTAGATTATAATAGGAGATATGGAATAAGAAAAATTGAGTTCAGACTCTTTATGACTCTTTAATGAATGAAAAATTAAATGAATAGAATGACATTATCTTTGTATTTATCAAATGACTGTTTATACGATTATATGGTGAATGATATTTAAAACCAAGTATTATGCAGTAAAAAAGTAGAAATAAGTTCACTGATAAAATTTGTTTTTAGATAGAGAATAATTAATATATATTTTCCAGAAAAAGTATTGAATTATGATTAAAAGAACAAATTAATAGCAATTATAAACAAATAATAAAATTGATAATATGGTATAATATGTATTTATAAATTTATTTTATTGAAATAAGTTATATCTTATAATAGACCAAAAATATTTGTAGTTATATGTTATTTTTCTTTTAATTTTCAATAAAAGTACTATAAAAGAAATATAATAACCATTTGAATAAGTATTGACAGACTTAGATTGATAATTTGAATAGATAACAACAACTAAGTTAGAGATAAAACAAAATCAATAATTTGTTATATATTACATAATAATTTAAAAGAAATTGATTAATAATAAAATTTAATTATAAAAAAACTATCTCAAATGGAAATAAAATTCAAGTTATCGTAAAAAATATGAAATAATAAAAAAATAATAAAAAAAGTAAAAAGTATAGTTTTAAAGGAGGATAGTAAAAAGAAAAAAAACGATTGAAGGTGAACTACAAAGATCAAAAAATGTTTGCTTTTGACGAGAACGGACGACCATTTATCATTGTTCGTGAACAGGCAGAAAAAAAGGAAAATAGATTAAAAGGAGTAGAAGCTACAAAAGCACACATTCTGGCTGCCAAGAGTGTTGCTGATATTTTAAAAACATCACTCGGGCCAAAAGGAATGGATAAAATGATGGTGTCACAAGATGGAGACGTTACTGTATCAAATGATGGTGCAACAATTATGCAAGACATGAACGTTGATCATCCAATTGCCAAGTTACTTGTCGAATTATCACAATCACAGGATTCAGAAATTGGAGATGGAACAACTGGTGTTGTTGTATTTGCTGGTTCATTATTAGAACATTCACTCAAGTTAGTTGAACGAGGAATTCATCCAACAAGAATCGCAACAGGTTATGAAGAAGCAGCCAAAATTGCTGTTGATGAATTAAAGAAAATTGCAATAGAAAAAGAAAAAATGGATAGGGACTCCATTGTTGCTGCGTGTGAAGTAGCTCTTGGTAGTAAAATTGTTAATAGATGTAAGAGACATTTAGCTGAAGTGTGTGCAGATGCTGTTTTATCTGTTTATGACAAAGAACGTAATGATGTTAACATGGACTTAATTAAATTAGTTAGTAAAGCTGGAGGAAGAATGGAGGATACTGAGTTAGTTGATGGATTGATGTTAGAAAAAGATTTCTCTCATGCACAAATGCCAAAAGCTGTTAAAGACGCAAAAGTCTGTATTTTGTCATGTCCATTTGAACCACCAAAAACTAAAACAACAACTAATATGAATGTTACTAGTGTTGAAGCATATAATCAATTATACCAACAAGAACAAGCATATTTCAGAATGCAGGTAGAAAAAGTAAAAGAAGCAGGAGCTAACGTTGTTCTTTGCCAATGGGGATTTGATGATGAAGCTAATCATTTATTATTATCTAATGGAATTAATGCTGTAAGATGGGTTGGTGGTGTTGAATTAGAATTATTGGCTATTGCTACAGGTGCAAGAATTGTTCCACGTTTTGAAGAATTAACAAAAGATAAATTAGGAAGTTGTAAATCAATTAGTGAAATGAGTTTTGGAACTGTAAAAGAAAAAATGATCAAAGTAGAAGGATGTCCTAATTCTAATGCTGTTACTATTTTTATTCGTGGAGGTAATAAAATGGTGTTGGCTGAAATTGAAAGATCTATTCATGATGCCTTGTGTGTTGCTAGAAACTATTTAAGAGATAATAGAGAGGTATGTGGTGGTGGAGCTTGTGAAATAAGCATGTCTCTTGCTGTTGCTGAAGCCTCTAAACATTGTAAAACTGTTGAACATCATGCTATGTCTGTTTATGCTGATGCTTTATTAGCTGTACCTCATGCATTAGCTGAGAACAGTGGATTAAATGCTATTGAGACTGTAGCTGCTGTTAAACAAATGCAAGTCACAAATAAAAATTCACATTTTGGAATTGACTGTCTTCAAGTTGGAACCAATGATATGACTGAACAAAAAGTATTTGAATCCCTTCATGCTAAAACACAACAAATTTTATTGGCTACTCAAGTAGTGAAAATGATTTTGAAAGTTGATGATGTTATTGGAGCTAATGCACAACAACAATAAATGAAATGATTTTTTATCAAATTATTATTCAAATTATTTCTTAATTTCATTTTTTAAATGTCAATGAAATTGGTGAAATACTGTAATACACTATTGAACTGTCTTGAGACACAATTGCTAAAACACACTGAGGAATTGTCAATGATAATTGTTCTAATTCAACCAACGTAATTTCTTTCTCACGTTCTATGACAACAACATTCCCTTCTGTTGTAGGGAAGTAATTAATATTATTTTTTGTTTCCATTCTAGTATAAAGACTTCGTCGGATCAAATCTTGGCGGCATGCTTCCTGTCTTCCAAATGTTAGAGGAGAGTTGTCATAATGAATTTTTGTCATTTAGTTTCATAGTTTTTCAAAAAAATTGCTAAAATTTTTTTATTTTTACTATTTTATAGAAACTGTTCAATTTTAGAGAGGTTAATGACAGTTGATATTCCTAAATATTTTTTATACTATTTTTCCACATAAAAGTTTGTTTGACTTTATAAACTATTAAAAGCTATAAAATATAATTTACTAAGAAGTATATAAATAAAAAGAATTTGTTCTAAAAATACAAAGAGTTTATGTGAAAATAATTTTTTTGAATAACGCAACAATATAAAGACAATTAAATTCTTACAAGAGTATTTCGGACTGAAAAAAGATGGCAGTATAATAGTTCTAAAATGTTAGTTGATCAATTAATAATTCCCCCAATGAATAATCTACCACATCATCCATTTGTTGATGAAAAAAGAAGACATAAACCTCGCAGAAATAGAAAGTCATTTATCAAATCAAGAAATCATCAATCTGAACAACAATGTATATTGATTGCGTTACTTAATTTAAAATTCGATATACTTCTTGAAAAACCACGGAAAATTAACACTGAGTCTTTATCTTTTTTTAAAGTCTTAGAGTTAATTGATGGAAGAAACAGAATTAACCTTAAAACGCTTACTGATACCAAGGTTCAATCACTCATTAAAGAAAACCAAATTAATGGTATAGATGAAAAAACAATAAAACGAAGGCTAGAGGTCTATAAAATTATGGAACATATTCATGTTTTGCTAGATATTGCTCAAAGTGTTGGATACAAAATTAAAACAAATTATGGTAAAAGAACGACACTAAGAGACAATCGTCTACTTGAATCTTTCGAAATTGATGGACTAGAAGTTAATAATATTGATCTTGATTCTAGAGGAAGAATAATTCATGAGGTCCTTGTAAATTATTCATCACAAACAAGCTCTGGATATTCTTTTATCATTAAAAAAGAAAACCCAAAGCTACAGTCTATTCTTTTCAAGGAGTTTTTGTAATAATTATTCTTGTTCTGAATTTTATCATTTTACTACTTCTTTGATTTGAAAAAAAAAATAAAAAGAACTTTTAGTTATACTTTTAATTAATGTAGTTAAAAGCAACTATTTATCAATATGTCTTGCCTACAATTAAAAAAAGCATATTATAACCTTTTATATATATATTTGATAATTAGTTGATAATACAAGAACTAAAAGAATTTTTAAACAAAATTATTAAATAATTTGGTTGAAGGTTTAATTGGTTTCTGAAATCTCACTTAAGTGTTTAGTTACTTTTATCACCTTATGCTAATAAAAAACCTCAAAAGTTAATTTAGTATGAAAAAACTTTTTAAAAAAAGGATAAATTGACGTTACTAATAAGAAAATAGCATAGCTTTATTTCATTTTATTAATCTTTTAACAAAAAAAAGGATATAAGCGTCATTCTCTATGGTAAATACCAATTAATAGTATAGAAAGATTAAAGTTTTAAAGAGATGTTACTGAGCCATTCAAGAAGAGAGAATTACTTTAATAAGGTTTTGAAAAAAAGGAACGTTCCTAAAAATACATTGGATCATAAAAATGAAAAAAAAAACAAGACAATAGCTCATTGTTTGAATGCTCAAATTTTTTGTATTTCTGTATTTTGAGAAATTACAAACCAAACAACGAGCTTAAGAAAAATGTTCAAATAAATCCAAATTAATTCTTTTTAAATAAATGCTTAAGGCTTAACAACTAGTTATCAAAAAAACTTAGCACTATATCAACACATTTTTACTGAAGTTCTTTGTATTCCTTGTAGATCTCTTCTAATGTTTTTGACAATCTCATCAAGTTTCTTTTCAATCTGACTATTACTTATAATTGTTAATTTTTCGTTCAAAATAAAAACTCTCAAAAAAGAACAAAACAAACAATGGGACAATCTTTCGTGGTTTTGTTTCACCTGCCTTTGTACGTCCTTTAGTCAAAACATCTTTAATAAATTCTGCGTTTGACTGCCACTTAACTCTTTCTGACTCGTCTCTTAACTTTCTTGGTTTCTTTTTAAATTCAGTTATTTCTTCTTGGGTTACTGGTTGTTGAGGTCTTTCAACAGGACTAAAACTTGAGAGTGAGGAATGAGGGATAGCAGGGGATTGATTTTGACTTTTTTGTTTGTTAATCCTACTAGGTTGAGAATTAACAGTGATAGAGTCATGAATGTCGTTGTTAGGTGGGGATGGTTGTATCATTGAAAGTAGTGAAGGAGTTGTTGATTCTTTGTTGGACATTATAATAAATAATTTTCAATTTTGTAGAGTTTGTTTTTTGTTTTTTGTTTTTATAAAAATAAACTAAAAGGAAATAATAACAGGTCAATTGAAATAAGTATCTAACAACCACTTAATCTTTTTACAAATTTTTGTTGGTGTTGAAGAATCAAAGAGAATGATTTCAATGTACTGAATATTATCTTCAATCAATGTTATTATATCTGTTTCACTTTCATCCATCTTTATTAAAATTAATAAAGATTCAATTAATAAACTCAAGTCTTCAATTTCAATAAGACGATATTGTTTTATTAAATCAATTAGTGCTTCAACTATATGATGTTCTACTAATATTTTGATCATTTTTTGCTCATTTTGGCATAAAACAATAAATGAACTTAATGTATGACAACAATCTCTTTTTACAGCTGTATTAGTTGAATATGAATGTTTGATTACAAAATCAATACATCCAATCTCACCTAATTTTATCAGATAATTAATATTATTTAATGACACATTTTCTATTAGCCATATTAAATCGGTAATTTCTTGTGGTTGTAAATGAATTGAAAGAAGATAAGGAAGTAATGAATAAATCTGATCAAGATAATTATTATAAAATGATTGATGTGATAGAATTTCAATAACATATTTTCTACTCCATTCATTAGAAATAAAAGGAATAATTATATCTAATGGAATATCTAAATTATGTTGACTTCTTTCAATACATGCTTTTAATATCTGTTTTTGAATCTTTTGGTCTGGAATTGAAATAAATGGAATAATAAATTGTTTTATAGTTTCATTTTTGGTTGAACAAACATGAATTAACCATGAAGCACAACGTATAATTTCTTGTTTATTTATATTCATTGATTGTTGAATTAAACTAGGAGCTAATTGAATTGCAGTTGAAATATTGTCAATAGCCAAATTACCGATAAATGTTAAACACTAGAGCTTTATTAATTTTTAATTTTATTTCGAAAATTATAATGACAAACAGGTATGAATAATTCACTATCAATTAAATTTTGTTGTAATGTTTGTATAATATGGTATTTATCAATTAATAATGAATATTCATCAGATATTAAAACCAAATCAGTTAATGTCTCAATAACAAGAATAACTACATTAGTATCTTTGTAATTAATAAGATTTCCATATAATTGAATAAATTCTTCTTGTTGAATATCATTAAGTTTAATTGATTCTTGAATTAAATGACGAACAAATATCATTTTTTCAATGAGTATAATTTTAGATGGTAATTGTTTTATTTGTTTAATCAATTCGTAGAGAGTTTCTTTTTTTATAAAATGTGCTTCTTTTACAATTTTATTGTTTTCTTTTTCTATTCTTTTTTTATGTAACATTTCATTTCTTTTTTTACTCCTTAGTATAGAGTGATAAGATTCTTGTTGTTTAAATAAATATTCTTTCGATGTATCACCTCTAAGGTTCATGTATTGTTAATAATTCAGTTTTTTTTTCTTGTTTTTTTCTTTTTTTGAAGTTAATTTTTCTTTTCTCCTAAACAAGTACATTCTTTATGTTTTGAAATTTAAATGAAAATCATATAGAAAGATAATAAAAAGAGGTAATTCAACATAATGAACGAAATAATTTAATTATTCGTTATTATTAATTTTTATGAAGAAAGTTGTAGATTAAAATAAACTTATTTATCAGAAAGACCATTAGTACTAAACATTGAATTAATGTATTGGGAAAAGGTTAAAGTGTTGTCTTAGTC